CACAAGGAACTTACGGCCAAGCTTCGATCAGTTAAATATCTTCACGTTGTACGAGAATACAACGCGGCCGCGGATTCGTTAGCCACTGAAGCGCTGGAATCGAAGGTCAGTCGAGTAATCTTGGCTGAAACTCGCAAGTCGGAATTGGCATCGCTGAACCGCATCCAGGAAATGATCTACGAGCCGGATGAAGACTCGGTAGATGTTTCGTCACGAGGAGCAGAGCGTCAAGTACATGTACTGTCAGGCAGCGAGTCTTCAAAGTGGAAAACTTTCGAAAATTTCGTGGTTGATTACAGCTTACCAAAGTGCGATTATGGTAATATAGCAGTGATGACTCGGCGACAGACGAAAGCCAAGAAACGCGTCAGGTTTGCAGATGAACACTCGGAGGATGTCTCAAAAGCTCAAGAACAGAATGAAGAACGACGAGAGACGTCCACCGAAGATTCATTCGGCGAAGATTTGCCAGACCATCCTCACAAGACTGTACCAGCGGCATTTCCCGATGCGGAAGATGTTGACCCGGTAGCGATACAGCGGGAACGACGCAGACGGATACAGGTGGCACAAGACGAGGAGCAGAAGTGGTTTAGTATCAAGAAGGTGCTTCAGGGCCAAGCACAAGAGCTGAGTTACAAAGAAGCTCGAAATGCCTGGAAATACGCTGACCGGTTCGTGTTATCAGAAGACGGCGTGCTTCACTATCTTGGATTGAATCGTCGGTACGACCACGGTTGGCAAGAGGAGACCAAGCTGCGGCTTGTGGTACCGACAACGATGATTCAAGAGGTCTTGCAGAACTGTCACGACTCGCTGGAAGGAGGACATCAAGGTGTGGTGAGAACGTTCCACCGCGTTAAGTCCGATTATTATTGGATCGGCTTGTACGCCGACGTGGAGAAGCATGTGAAGTCATGTCCAGATTGCAGCTCGAGTAAAAGCCGTCCACAGCTTCGTGGATACTCACCTGGTAACGTGCTAGCCGAACGACCTTTCCAGATCGTCTCGATGGATTTTGTGATCCCACTACCGAAATCTCGTAGGGGCAACACGGCGTTGCTCCTATTTCAGTGCTCGTTCACGGGATTCGTTATTGCCAAGGCTATGTCAGATACGACTGCACTGAGTGTTGCCCAAGTGTTCGAAGAATGTGTGTACCGACGATTCGGAGCCCCATCATTAATAAGGCACGACCGCGACCCACGCTTCATGAGCCAAGCATTTGCAGATATGATGCAGTCAAGATCACGAGCGACTTTGAGCTATCGGCCACAGGCTAATGGACAGCAGGAACGCTCGGTGAAGTCGGTGATGGGATCCGTACGGGTGTACGCGGAAGACCCTCTACAGCAAGATTGGGATGAAATCGCGGAGAAGCTAGTATTTGCTATTAATACTTCTCAAGACACTACGAGGAAGGAAACGCCGTTCTACCTCGTTCATGGTTGGGATGCGCAGTCGACGTTGCGGGCAATGTCGTCATCACTCAAACGAGGACTCGGCAAGCAGTCTGACGCACTGGCGTGGCGGCGTGAGATCAATCGACAACATGAGGTCGCCCTCACTATGGCCAAGGATTATCAGGCTGTAGAAAAGGAGCGAAGGGCTAAAAAGCATAATGAGGCCCTGAGTCGACTGGAAAAAGCTGCTGTACCTCAACCAAGTGGAAACGAACACTCGGCGGACCCTCCAGAAGCTTCGGAAGAGATGGAAGATCCTGCAAGAGCTCCACCGAGATCTCTTTTTGAGATTGGGAGCCGGGCGTGGTTGTACATGGAACGCGTCAAACCGGGCTTGACGAAGAAATTAGCTCACCGATGGCATGGACCTTTTCGGATCAAGCGCAAGGTGGAAGAGTTTGCGTACGAGCTGGAACTGCCTGATCGAAGTGGGTATCGCTTTTACCCAGTAGTGCATGTGTCAAGACTCAAGGCTGTCAACGAATTCAACAGTCGACCGAACACTCGGTTGGTACTTGACGCGACTAATGAAGCAAGACTCGACTTCGATGAGGAACTACTGCCTGAGGACAGCTGGGAACCAGACCAAGTTGCCGGTGAATATGAAGTCGAGGCCATCCTCGACGACAGAACACCACTAACGACGAGCACGGAGCGTGCTGTACGCGAGTTCAAAGTCAAGTGGGTGGGCTATGAAGATACAACTTGGGAACCATCATCAAACTTGTCATGTGGAGGTCTGCTGTACGACTATTTGCGAGCCAAGAAGAGCGAGAATCGGCTGCAGATGGCGCAAGTGGTGGACGAAGACTAGCGTGACTTGATCACGTATGAACTGTCCACAGGGCGATGCAGCCTGTGGTAACAGACGAAGAACGTTACTGCAACAACAAATTGTATATGCATTTGAAGAACAACATGAACATGATTACGCTGTGGAAGTGGATTAAGAATAAGAAAACATGAATGCCGACCGCGGAGCGATCACTGAAAACGAAGTCACGCGGGACACCTCAACAGTTAGCTGAGATGCTGGAGAACGTCGTAGAACGTGCAGCGAGGACCTCATCGAAACCAATAGCTGTCTCGAGACGACGCTGAGTGTGTATATTGCCGTGGAGAGGAGGCACAACGCTGATCTGCACTTGGTGACGAGCCATTGCAGTCAAGTACGGGATTATCGAGGTCATCATGTGATCGACCGATGCCTCCGTACTTTCAGCCAGCATGGCGCGCAGCGAATCTTCGGTGAGTGGTGGTGGACCACCAGCTGGGGCGGGAGGAGCAGCAGGAGCCATCTCCGTGGGTTCAGCGACGACGGGCAGTGCTGCAGGAGCTACCACAGGGAGTGAAGAGTCCGGGGCAGCGAGCGCCGAAGGACCAGTTGATGACGCCGCTGTCGGAGGAAGTGTAGCAGACTGAGGGACGTTCGAACCCTCGGCCTTGCCCTCCTGAGAAACAAGTCGAGTAATGCGAGATGATGAGCAAGGTGCCGATGATTCAAGAGAAGGATGAGCTGACGTACCTCCAGCTGTTCACGTTCGCGACGTCTACGAGGATTGAGACGCTGAAAAGCGTCGGACACGACTCGATTCAGACGCTTGGACATACGGTGGCGAGATGGTGAATTGAAGAATGAAGAAATGTCACAACGGGCACCAGTACCGTGGCTTCCATTGCGACAGGGGCAGTTGTGGTGTAGTGATTTCTCCGTGGTTGCGGATTATCACCCGTCGACAAAGACGTGACACCGCCCAAGTTGCTCAAGCGACGAACCCTCGGTCGGGTGATGTACGGAGACGCCAAGGTGCAAGGGACTCGACGGCGTCACCTCCGAGTTTTCAACAAATATCGGATACGGCCCTATGTCACTAAATCCAGGCTGTCATTATTATTAATAATGGACTGGCCGGATTCGCATTCAGCGGACCATCTACGGTACGAACCCTCAGTGGCGGTTGGGATGAGTTCGCGGAATACTCAGCGACCTTTGGAAGACACGTTAACCGTCTGGGACAGGGCGCGGACCGTTAAAGATGCTCATGCGACAGTGCAGACGACGCTTGGCATGCAAGAAGATCCATAACGGATCATTGTTCACTTGATATTTGTATACTTGATTAGGACTTCTTATTAGGAATAGACCCGAAAGGGTAAGCTTAAATACAGAACAGAATTTCCACTCAAGCACACAGAGCGACGTCCGGCTTCAAGGTAAGCGTCAGGTCAAGCTTGTTTGAGTGTGTTATGCCTGTCGGTGAACTCGAAGCTCTGTAGCGAGGGTTCATCCGGCAAGGCCAAGAGACTTTGTGTATTGGCCGATTATTATCGGGAGGTTTTACGTGACGGCTTATTGTTGCCTATTTGCACGACTGGGAGTGCTTGAATTGCCTCCCTTTTATTTCTTCCAGCCGAGTGTTGAACACTCGGTGATCTCGTTAAAGGCTTACCCGTGCCTGGTACCCTTCCGCTGTTGGGACCACGAGGATTCAAAACACCTGCTAGCTTTGCTCGTGCTAGTAGCGTGTTCTTATTTTACTGGTTGGCCTATATAAGTAGTTTACAAGGTCCAGTTTGTCCCGGTGCAAGGGCAGAACTGGGGTCTTCAGGTCCGCCCGAACGATTGTTTACTATCCTAGTAGACGTATTGTTGTGGGAACATCCTAACTACATCTGTAGCTAGAGTTCACGTGGGATTTCCAACACCACACTTACATCTACTCCTCTAAGTAGTAAACCGTTCCCTTTGAGGCCGGGAACACGTCGACTAACGTTCACTCGGGTAGCTAATACCCTTAAGCACTGCCTCTGTGCAAGGAGCTTTGTGACCCCGTCACATACAAGCTCAAATAGGCAGTACAAGCGGGTAAGTAGTGCAACCTGGACAGACCATTACTATCATGTGAGCTCGGAAATGGTCCGTGATATCGAGCACGACGCTAAACTAAAAATATTGTGAGGCGTTTGTTTAAATGTTATTTGAAGTGCAGGTGGTTTTAGGTGGAAGATGAAGATGCAGTGATAGCTAACAATAATAAAAAGATTGCATCAAGAATATTGATTCAAGATCATTAGAACAATTAATTCAATAAGTAAATATGATGCTAGCCCGAGATAGAAAAAAACGATTTAGGCACACAGGGGTTTTTTCAATAATTATCCCGCCGAAGCGCAGCGGGGAAGGAAGGTCGAAGCAAATGAATAAAACTAAACCTAAACTACCGCCGCGTAGCGGCGGCGCTCGGCTATTATAGTTAATAATAATCCATGTTTACAGATGGAATGTCCATCCGTTTTATAGCCATGGTCGGAGCATAAAACCACGCGTAAAAATGAGATGGGAAGAGAACTTTTTATAGACGTCGATTTAATAAAATGACCTCTATTTATTAAAAATCGAGCATCAGGCTAAGTGAAAAGGACAAAATTCATTTCCACGAATACAATACCACCAATACAATGTACCTAGGAGATTGTCAGAGATTATTTCATTTCCACGAATAAACAATAATAAGTTTTATCGCACTGCAGCTGTCGATGGAGGGAACGACGCTCAAGTCGTGGCGGCTGGGCAAGAAGCTCGGCTCAGGAGCATGCAGCGATGTCTACGCTGGTAGGTTAATCCCTCGTCAAGTCCTCATCGAATTATTACGCACTAATCCCTTTATGTGCTGCAGTGGAACCTATGAGCCCCCTCAGCAGGGATGCCGGCCGTGAGTTTGTCATGAAGCTCTCACCACTGCCACAACTGCCGGCGGCCAAGCTTAAGAACAAGAAAAGGAAGAAGACGCCAGCGGAGCGCAACGCTGATGCGCTGTACGCCGAGCACCTGCTGTACAAGAACCACTTGAGAGACCAGCCCGGTATCCCTTACGTGCCAATGGGAGCCTACGGGGAGGATAAAGTGCGGTGGAAATGTTGCTGCATTAGCTGTGGATTACGGCTATTAACTGGTCATTTCGGCTACAGGGATATCGCTTCCTAGTGATAGAGCGACTTGGACGAACGTTAGAGACGGTGCTGCAGGAGCAAGGACCTGTCTCGTCGGCCACAGCAGCTCGACTGGGCCAAGAAATCGTACGTGTGGCCTTAAATTGGTTGCAGCTCATTATGCCCATTTTAATGCACATGACCAGTTGGAGACGCTGCAGCAGATGCACGTGAAGAACATCCTCTATGTGGATGTGAAGCCTGAAAATTTCATGCTGGACATGCGTTCGGAGAACACTGTGTACTGCGTTGACTTTGGTATTTCCGATCGCTATGTCACCGCCACGGGTAAGCACAAGGAGTACAAGGAAGGAACGGTTGTGGGAACGCCGACCTTCTTGAGCATTAATTGCCACGACGGTGCCAGTACGTTCGCTCGCTTTTGGATTCTTAGCTGGAGAAACGGGAATCTCTTACTTTTGTTTTATCGTCAGCTTCTAGCCGCCGAGACGACATTGAATCATTGTTGTACGTACTCGTCTACTTAATGCGGGGCAATCTTCCGTGGCAGAAAGCGTCAAGTGATGCCGAAGGGGCCAAGATCAAGAAATCCACCTCGGTGGAACAGCTTTGTGCTTCGCTTCCTAATGCATGGGGCGCAATGCTTAAGAACATTCGTTACTGCGGCTTTGAGGATCGACCAGACTACGATTTCTTCGTGATGCAGCTCTCGAAATTAGGTGGGAGTAAAGGCTTGAGTACACCGTTTGAGTGGGGTACGCGGAAGACCAGCAAAGCGGTGCGTCTACAGCTGCACTGAAGGCACCCCCATCTAGATTAACTGACGTATATCGTGTACTTGAAATTTGAAGGCTGCTAAGGTTGCTGCTGCAACGCAAGAGTCAGCCACCGACAGCCCCGTGCGTAAGCGTGTGAAAAGCGCGGATGAAGTTCCCACAGTGCCTCCACCCACCGCAGCCAAGACAGAGAAAATAAATGCCCCTGAGAAGAAGAAAGCTACTCCTCGTCACAGCAAGGCACCAACTAAGAAAGCAGCAGCACCTTCCCCGAAGGGTAGCAACGCGAGCAAGAAGGACCAACAAGCTGCTGACAAAGATGGTGTTGAAGTTGAGTGCACGAGTGACGTGCGGCCTCAAGACCGGGAAGTATTCAAGGCCATCGCCGGCCACGCTGCTGCCACGGCTGCTGTTAAGCGATACAACCTGCGCTCAGCTCGTTGAGAGTGTATCTGCTACAGCCAGCACACGCAAGAGGAAGTTCATTCACATCAGTGGTCTATTCACACAATACAGTACTTTTTCCCATTTTAATTCTATTCGGACAGCATGAGTGACAATGATCCAGGACGTGTCACGTACGAGTTGTTGCGAACTCACGGGGACCAGGAGAATGCAGAGACGCACAAGGAGATGCTCCGAGCGCTAAGCTCCGTACACGTCGACTGCGAGAGTGCCGACGTCTTGCAGCGTCTCCACGCGACGGAGTTCGGTGTGTGGGCTTCAGACGATTGGTGTGTCTACGAACAGTTGTGACTAAGCGTATCTTTTGGACAGTATTGCTGCGAGGTCGAGAGCATCGAGAAGAGAGGCATCAGGTTTCTAAGCGGAGAAGTCGAGTGCGGGGCAAATGGAGGCGACGACAGCAGCAGGAAGGAGCGACACTCGTGGACATGCACAGGTGTTACCCGAAGCTCTTTGAAGGGGTGAGCGAGCGGTCACAGCATTTTAGCGGTTCTTGTGAGCGTACATGTATTACAATGGCGAGCTGATGCAAGCTTTCGTGATGTACTCTGGTAGGTTGAAGAAGACCGTAAGAAGCACAAGAAAGGTGTCAACAATGAAGTGGAAACGACTCGGAAAACTCCAGCTCCAGTCCCAGTTCCTGTTGCAATGCGTCAACCTGTGGTTACTGCTCCAGTGGTGCCTACAAGAGTGAAGACGATGGGGAACGACCTCAACTTTACTGATGACGTGTGGAGCGGACCCCCCCAGGCTGCTGAAGTAGCAGTGCCAAGCGAACCTGCACCACAGCCAACGCCTCCCCCTCTGAGTGATCTACTGAGTAAGAGTAGAGTGAGGCTGCCTCATGAAGATCCTGACCTCTTTGGTGCGGGTACCCGACCCAATGCTGTCAATCCGTTCCAGACTGCTTCTGAGCGACTGCAGGTGAGGTAGCACTGCCAGTCCGGGATGTCAAATCTGCGACTAATGTTTTGTGTACCGCGACGAAAAGTGTGACCGCATGTCAGGAAGAGCCAGGAACGTCGACGATGATGAACGTCGAAGTAGAAATGATCGACGCAGGAACCCACGTGGTCCATCACGCGGTGTCTATCATCCTGTAAACCAAGATCTTCTTCTCGGTGGCAGTGACAATGACAACAATGGCTACATATCTGGGCCGTCTGCAGTCAGCAAAAAGTTTGTGTCCCCAACGAACGATGGCGGGGCGAGCAAAGGGTACATTAAATCTACTGATTCTTAATAACCGGAGGTCAACAGCCAACAACTGTGGCATTTTATTTGTGCAGCAGTAAAAAGCAGACTACTCCGCCCGACGAGGACGAAAATATTGATCCGCGCCTTAAAAGCTGTGACCCGGAACTAATCGAGAAGATTGAAATGGAAATTGTGGACAACGGAGACCCGATTACATTCGACGATATTGGTACGAGGTATCCAGTCGCCCTAGGTTTGCAGAGCTGACCACTAATAGTTCGTTTTGTGTGTTCTAGCGGGACTGCAATTTGCCAAGAAGTGCGTGAACGAGCTGGTGATTTGGCCCATGGCGCGGCCAGATATATTCACGGGACTCCGCTCTCTTCCGAAAGGTGCCGTGCTACGATATAGTGTCCTGGTTGTCAGCAAATACTCATCGATATGTCTTCATTGTGCGCAGGTTTGCTTTTATTTGGGCCACCTGGTACCGGTAAAACGTTGATCGGCAAAGCAATTGCAAGCCAGTCTGGGGCGACCTTTTTCAGTATTTCTGCTAGCTCCCTAACGAGCAAATGGGTGCGATGCAGCTCTGTATTTGTTTTACTCGTACGAATGGACTTAAAACCCTTGTGCCCTTATTAAATGTAGATTGGCCAAGGAGAGAAGCTCGTTCGAACGTTGTTTGCCGTCGCAGCTGTCAAGCAGGTAGAATCTATGATCCTCTAGGCACAATTCTATACTAACCTCCAACTGCCCTGTGCTTTGCCAGCCCTCTGTGATATTTATTGATGAAATTGACTCATTATTGACACAACGAAGGTAAGTGACGTCGATCCGTGTTATCGACAGGATACATTACACTTTAATTTGTTGCAGCTCAGAAGAAAATGAGGCGAGCCGGCGGATGAAGACGGAGTTTCTGGTGCAACTTGACGGAGCTGGCACGAAAGCCAAGGATATCATCCTAGTTGTTGGTACGTTTTATCCCGACTGCTAATCGGCTTTTAGGGTACCGATTGGTCCTTTGGGTTTATAGGCGCGACAAATCGACCTCAAGAGCTTGACGAGGCAGCACGTCGACGATTTGTCAAGCGTTTGTACATTCCTTTGCCGTCGTTTGAAGCCAGATTGGACTTGGTTAGTCGGCTGCTCAAGGATAACAGGAATAACTTGACCGACGAGAACAAGACTTTCATTGCCGAGTCAACGAAAGGTTTGTGATACTGTGGGATTATCACGACGCTTCGAGTTCGTCCTGATTGTGTGCTCTTACCAACTTGAAGGGTATTCGGGTGCAGATGTGCGAGCACTTTGTACTGAGGCTGCGATGGGTCCGATCCGGAATTGTGCCGATATTCGCACGATGGATGCCAATTCCGTTCGTCCTATCAACTCGGACGACTTTAAAGAAGCTTTGCGTGGGGTTCGTACTTTTGTCCGGCCCTTTTAGAGTTTTAATGACGCATGCTAACTTGTTAATTCTTGCTGTGCTATTGCCCAGGTTCGTTCCAGTGTGGCAGCGAAAGATCTTGCGTTTTACAAAGAGTGGAACGAGGAGTTTGGAAGTTTTGCCTTCGAAAGCCACGACTCATCGTAACTCGGGTGGTAAGCTAAAATGCAAAAGAGCTCGTACTTCTTCGTCTTTGATTACATGGTAATTCTCTTCCTGCGCTTTAGGAGTGCCTGCTCAGTCGTGCCTAGAAATGCGAAGCTAACGTGGACAGCATGCGGACGTGGCGTATTATTGTCTTGTACGTCGAAGTAGTAAATAAAGTGAATCCATGGAGGTAGCACTGGTCGACGCTCAGGTGCTCGGGGACAAGTATTCCGTCTCTTCGAATGGCATGTTGAGTCTTCTCCGTTTCTGCACGGGCTCCAACGACGACCCAGAGTGGCGAGTAGTTGCGCGCACGATAGTTAAAGCCATGGATGGGCAGCTCTCGATCTCCTCGCGGAAGTTCTCGTCGTCGACGATCTCGCTTGTGTGATTCATGAAGAAAGCGAGGCAGTATTCCTTCAAGTACGCGGCATTGAATTTCTCCGCAGCACAGAGGAAGCGCCCGACGTTTCCGATGGACAAAACATCCTGTGCTGCGACTTCGCAGAGGTGTTTCAGTGGCAGTAGCAGGTACTGCTCTGACAGCGTCAATAGGTCGATCAGTTGCTGCACAATAACCACAAAAAGATAGGATTTGTTTAGTTAGTTTCACCATTAACTTTTGAGTGAAGCACGTACGTTTGAGTTGAGCTTGGCCAGATCCAGCACGCGATTCGTGTAGATAAACTCAAGCATCTTGGACACCATCTCGGGCGAGTGATCTTCAATACGGACCACGCCGTCCCAACTCTCTTTCATGGCTCCAGGTCGGAACATGGCTTCAAAGATCTCGCATCTTGTCGTCAGAATCAATCGGTGCGCCCGCAGGATCTCCCTGTCCCCTCCGACATCCAGCGTTATGTCACTGCCAATACCACTCTAGTAATCCTGTCAGCAACTTCCGTTCTCTCCATCCTCAATTTGACACGTGTCCTCACCAGGAAGAGCTCTCTCATTGTGGCGAAATAGGCATCATCATTGTGAGAAGGCAGCGTCAGGGTCGTAGGGGCCACTCGACGGCGTACCAGGATTATATCGTTCTGTGACCAGCAACAGAACGGTCAGAATTTCATTCAAAACAGCATCAACACCATCCTCCTCCCCACCTTTTGTAAATGCACTGACTCGGGTGAATCCTCGGGGTCCAGTCGGTTCTGCCAGACACACAACTTTGTTTAAAAAAAAAGTTTATATAGGACAAATTTTGCGACAATGACTTTAAATCCAACCGTGAAGAAAAAGTCAAGCGACTCGCGCGGTAGTCCGTGGTGCTTGCTGTAGTGGCGGAAGAGTGACGAGAAGCGCTGCGTCTTCTGCATCAGACATGAGTACATGTTGTTGGCCGCCACGCGCACGATCGAACGTTCCTTGCCAGTCAACACGAGGTCTTCTGCCGCCTAGAACAAGGCAAAACAAACGGAAGATAGTTTTTTACGGTAGTTGTTGGCTGTCTCCCTCTCACCTTGACGGTAAACTCTACGTTCTCAGGGCGCACGCTGCGGTTCATAGCGTCCTTGGAGTTTATTTTTCGGTCTGTCCAGATCCCAAAAGGTGATAAGCTGCAGCTTTATCAATTTGAAGCGGTTATGTGGAAACATAATTGGGAGAGTGATGGTTCTACATGGATACTTCAACGTCTTTTAGTACCGGAAAGACTGTAGCGCGCTGAAGCCACTGCCACGCGTGCCATGGCATGGCAGTGGTTAAGAGCCACCCTCAGCCTACGAAATTTTGCCAAATCAATAGTACATGTAGTGAATAAAAAGTGAAAGAAAATTAAAATTGTCACACAATTTTAACTAGTTTTCGTAATATTGTTTTGCCCAACCGCTTCCAAATTGATAGTAACTACAGTAGTACAGAAGTCCAGCGTAGGGGTCGTCTGATAAGGAAATTCACAGCGATCTCGTGATTTGTTATTTGTACCCCAATTCAAATAATCGGATATAAAGGGGAATATGAAGTACAAGCCACACTTATTCAGGGGGATCTCTGTATATGCTTCCTGACTGCGACGATTACGCTCGGTCAGAACACATTAGAGATTCGCCAAATTTTATTATGGTACTGGTGCGCTGGAAATGATTGACTGTGATTTTCCGCGCCTTGGTGGCTGAAATCAGCTGTAGCAACAGCAGTTTTTAAAACATCTTCTGCTAATACCCCAAGCTCCTCACGGACTGCAGGAGCTACCCTGTAAGTAGCCCCAGCATTTCTCGCCTATGCAACTGCCACACTATCGGCAACCATACTAGTCCAATATTGGTTGTTTTGTTGCTCCTATCGTACGCGGCGAAAACGATGGAGCCCAGCACCCTGTTCGGATTCACGACCGTCGTAATATTATTGAAAGGTTGCGTAGTCGGTATGATGCTCTTAAACGAGTCCTAAAATGTCCTATATGGCATAAAAGCACCGTTAGGCCCGAAAATTATCTCGCAAGCGGAGGCGCCGCAGCGGGCATAGGACTCTAGTGTAGCGGGATTAGCAAAATCTGCGAGATTGCTGGATCCAACTTACCAACAGCGCCCAGACATCGACTAACGGAGGGGATCCCCCAATGATTCGTGATCTGCTGAGGTTTTTTTCACCTTGTGTACCTCGGTAGGGCGGGATCTTGCTCTCTCGGTAACTTCCGAAGCGCTCAAGTGGTGAAGCTTGAGTGTCTTGGCGAGACGTGGGGATGGGGTGGAGCAGTAGTGGTACGATCTTCACTCTGCGTCCGTAGTTGTTTCTGGATCCTAAGCGAATATTCGAGCTTGGTGGATGCAGGACCTAGATCTGGGATCTGGCCGTAGGGCTGCCTTGCGGGTGTGTTCCCTTGCCTTTGTGTTGCCTTTTCGTCGTACTTGCCGCCTCCTGTAACGGAATCTTGAAAATGAGAACCTCTAGGGTGTTGCCGGCCAAGTAGTAAATCCGGTTAACCTTTCGGATCTGCACGTGTAAAGAAAAGCTCACTAGGTTGTAGGATCTGGCCAATGTACTATCCAGTTATCACTACCAACACTTGATTCGCAATTCCCAACCTTCATCGAGCTCGTACGGCCAATGTAGTTCCGATTCTAGAGGGCAGGAAGGCACTTGCGTGATACTGTGCAAATTGATGTCTGTATTGATAATTAAGCCTGTACCTGCCTGGATTTCTACCTTCTATGTCTTTTACCTGCTCAATTCTCTACCAGGCTCGGCTGCATGTCCTTTCTCTCCTTGGTCCATCACCCCAGCTGTATCAGCATCAGATCCACCGGATCCAAGGCGAAATCATCGTGAGGTCGCCATATTATGGGGATACTGTCCCGGATCCAAGCGACTTTAGCCCACCTTACGGCAAGTGTTTCACTTCATCGTGGATCTGAGCCCTCCAATCTTCTAACACCACATTACAAATGTCTGCGGTCTCCCCTGCTCCACGAAAAATCGAGATCGAGTGGATTCACCACCCCTATTCCAAATATCCAAGTTACGCTGCGTGGGATCCTCAATCCATTGGATCCAGACTTGGGAGAGTGGGATCTGGGACATCTGTCGTTAACCCCCCCCCTCGTTACGAGAGCAAATCTTGAATGCACAGACTACTTTTTAACATGCTTGATATCAAGCATGTTAAATAAAGTATTAACGTAAAATTTGTATAGGAAAAAAAAGATCGGTGTCTGTATATTTGTACAAGATCCTGCAATCGTACGTATTATAAACCCACATGCTTTATATCGAGCATGGTAAGAAATTCCGGAAAGCCCATACGCGACATCATGCATGTGCAAATGGCTCTTTTATTGGGAATGAATCGATTTTGTCACGTGCAGAACGGCTACGAAAGCAAATTTGTGTATTGCATCTGTTTGCTAAAAGCAAGTCATTTGGGCTATTACTTACGCAGCTTCACTGCTTCCTACTCTTGGTGCTCTCTCTCTACCGCGTCGTCACCCCCAGTTTCCGTTGTCTCGTTCTGATCAATATCAGAATTTTCACCACCATCACTTCCCTCATTGCCGAGCCCTGCGGCCTCCTCATCGTCCCCACCGTCCTCCTCCTCTTCACGACCCCCTTGTCCTCCCGTCCGCTTATTTGGTGGGTCCTCAGCTGGATACCGCGGTCGTGGCGCGGCTGTGGGCGCTCGCTTCCATTGCGCCAAAGTTGGTGCCAAATGGAGAAGCAAGACTGGTTGTTACTTGGGTAATGTGCTTATCCCACCTTGTCACACAAGTAGACACTGCATATACGTGCTAGATACCAGTTGTAAGAGCGATAGAGCATAGCAACGTACCGTTTGGAGCCTTTACTGCAACCGGGACAGTAGAATCGCGTCACCTGCCACTGTGTACTGCTGGTTTTCCGTATAGTACAGACCTTGCACTGCCGTTGACGCCGCTTTCAAATTCCATTCACCTCCACCCACTTGTCGTCCTTCTTTAGCTAGTGGGTGAACGATGGAACGTCGCCATGCATTGGTGTAACTGGTCTAGGTGAGTACATCTTTGGACACATACAGTAATAGTTAGCAATGTGAACAGCCAGCAGAATAAGCACCTTCCTTACGGTGCTGCAAATTCGGCCGACCCCGCTTGTAGTAGCTGGGCTTGCAACTGAGCGATGAAACCGGTTAGTTTGAATGGTCCCCACAGAATAGACGTTCCTCTCAAGAAGTTGCTTTGTATCTATTAGATTTGGCAAATCAGACCTCTCTACGATGCGCCAATTGTCAATGATGTCCTTCCAGCGTTCGGCCTCCTCCTTACTTCCTGGAGGTCGCTGTCCCCCGCGACGGTTTGCTGTAGAAGCTGCACCAACTGCAGGTGTAGAACTCGGTGAATCGCCAGTTTGAGGTGCATCTATGGACAGTTCATCACTCGCCTCCGTGTCGCTCTCGCATGGGATCTCATCATCCACATCAGCTCCAAAATTATCCGTCCCATTCAGCTGACCCAGTGTCTGAACCATCGTAACCCGAATCCAATGCACCACCATCATAGATGGCATCATCTTGACGGGAATCTTGACGGGAATAGAGAGGAGGCGGGGTTGTGGGAACCGTAGTTGTGTGAATAACAGTAGCCATATTCAGTGACCTTGCAAAATCAACGGTAATATACAGCATGCTGTCAGAAATAAATCTCGCATATGCTTGATATTCATTATGTGACAGCGTACCTGGTAGCCGAAGATCGAGGTGGCGTTAGCGGTGAAGTCTGTTGCGCAGAGGAAGCACCTTCCGATGTCGACATGGGTCCACGCTGTGCCTGCGTTGTGATTGTTGCACATGGCGAAGATGGCGACGTGTTGCTATAGTCCAAATCGCCACCAACAGACGCATCGCTACAATCAATTACGAACATGAAGTGGGAGAAACACATCGTACGAAAACGCATAATCTCCTCACCTGGCGGCTTCTTCATCAGCAGCAACGTATGGGCTTGTTGTCCGCGCAGATTTGTCAGCTCTTGAGCTCTTCGATGGTGCGCGCTTACGCTTATCTTTTACTTTGGCCTTGCCAGGCGCCATTGCCGGTCTTTTCTTCTTCGCCGCCTTCTTCGGTGTTGTGATCTTTGCCGCTGTCGCCATGTCAAACTCAGCGTCGTCATTGCCTTGGTCTTCTCCCGTTTCCACGTAATCGTCGTCTCCGCTGTCACTCCCATCCTCATCAGCAGAAGCAGCATCGGCAGCAAGCTTTTCTGTATACAGTGCTGCGACTGGCGCCTTCCCTTTCAATCGCGGTGCTCTTGCCAGCAAATTGTAATACCCCACTAGTGCACCCTTCTTCTGGTACGTAGCTGGAACAGGAGGCTTGCGTGAAGCCACTGTCATCCTAGGCCGCCTTCCTATCGTTGCTGACGTAGGAGCTGAAACAAGCGGTTCATCCGCAACTTCGCCGCCAAAGGCATCATCGCGGTCACGCATACCGTCGACATACGCACGGTGCTCTTCAAGCAGGCGGGCGCGTTCTGCGCCTTCCTTCCTCTCGAGACGACGCAGGAACGCCTCCGCTTCAGTGCGCGTGACGCGGCGGGGAGGCACCTTGGTCCCGCGTTTCTTTTTGGAGAAAGAATGGATGGCTCAGAGGCTTCTCGTTTGAAGCACTGTCTTTACGACAGCGCATCTCCAAGGAACTTTATCTTTACAGTTAGGGCCCCAAGCCCTGTACATTGGGGACTAAATGCCCATTCTATGACGATCCCCACATGCTTGATTATCAAGCAGGTGAAAAATGTCACATGCTTCATTATCAAGCCTTAGTGACGGGGGGGGGGGGGTAGTACCAGATCCACCTTCAGATGGTTTCTACACCCTTCCTCCATAGAATCCCCACTCGATCCACCCACACATTGTGGATCCCATATCCCCTAGGTGTACTCGGGCGAGGGTGGATCCGAGCCTCCACTTGGTGGATCTCAGTTACACTGCCACCAACCGTGTTCCTCCTGCCATTCTTCATGCTCTTAGCCACTGGTTAACCTCTCGATCCATCATCTGCAGTCTCCTACTTCGGGTCGATCCTATAGGGTATGA